TGCCGGGTTTATGATGATTACTAAACACACAGGTAATGGTCTTTAACAGAAAGGTTTTTCACAGAAGCCAGAGCAGGGCCTGGCCGGGACGGCTAGTACTTATATAAAATCAAAATTATATAAAAACGTCAACACAAATTGTGAGCTACGTTATATAGAGACCATTATGAATATATCACTTAGGTATGTTATAAGGCTAGCTGTTTTGTATTTCAAATAGAGTAAACAAGATTATTTTGAAACATGTATTATTTATAAAGCGAAGACAATTATCTTATCAGGCTTTTAAAATTGCATTTATTCACGCAATAAGCAGTTATCCATAGTTTTTTTTACCTTTAAATTCTCGCTCCTATACTTAAAAACTATTAGAAACATATTTGTATTTTTTGTCGCCCTTGATTTTCGTAAATTAAATCTAGAAATAGGAAGGACGTAGTTGTAAAACAAATTTAATTTCAATTCTATTTTATATTCACTAATGATTGTAAGAATTTTTATACTAATGACATAATAAAGGCCTATATATATATATACATATATACATACATATATATATATATATATATATATATATATATATATATATATATATATATATATATATATATATATATATATATATATATATATGTATATATATATGTATATATATATATATATATGTATATATGTGTATATATATATATGTATATATATATATATATATATATATATATATATATATATATATATATATATATATATATATATATATATATATATATATATATATATATATATATATATATATATATATATATATATATGTATATATATATATATATATATATATATATATATATATATATATATATATATATATATATATATATATATATATATATATATATATATATATATATATATATATATATATATATATATATATATATATATATATATATATATATATATACTAGGCATACTGCCTAGCTTCGCTTAGGTTTTCAAAAACATTTGAGAATTTGAATACTTTAATTATTTAGTGATTGCTGAGGTGTGGAGTGCTTAAGTTTAAACAGTAATGCTAATTTTTGAGAAAATGATGTTGTTTGTTGTTTTAAAGTCCGTTTTCAGAGAAAATATTGGAAAGTTCGCAATGTATGACTAAACTGGTATTATCTACAGAGGTTCCATGAACAGTATATTACATTGACTTTTAAATTAATTTATTTATTTAATTAGGATACGAACCTTAGTTAACAACTTAAATTTTTTTTACTGAAGCAAATGCTATACTTCGTCAATTTCTGTTTATGTTTAAAATAGTATACAATTGTTTGTTACCTCCCTTGAAATTAAACGAATGACGTATGTCTTTGTTTACTTTTTCACAAACAGTTGTTTATAAGAAAATATGTCATCTGGAAAAATCTAACGACCCAAAGGGTTTTTTTTTTCGACGGGAATAATGTTTTTTTGTTATCCTCTGGGGTCGGTCTACGACCTCACAAAATATTAGGGAGATCGATTGTCAATTTATTTATATGTATCTTATATAATAAGAATTTCACTCGCGGTCACTTTTTAGCCCTTGTTGATGGCTTTGAGTCTGACCAACAGTTTTTCCGTACGGTCTAGTCATCTATAGAGGTGCATGCAAAAAATTAGACAGATATACATAGGTTAAGTACCCTAAACTTTGTGTTGAAATTACCCTGTTTTTTACATAAAACACTTAAATTATATAGAGAAATACGACTGGTCAGTTTTGACCCATTTCCAGATTTTTCCCGGACAGTGCGAGTTTTTTTATGACACCCCTGGGCGTTCTCCTACCACCTCACAAAATATCAAGGGGGTCGTTGGGCAAAAGTTTTTTTTCGTAATAGAGCTCATATACAGAGAATTTCACTCGCGGTCACTTTTTAGCCCTCGTCGAAGGCTTTGAGTGAAGCCGACAGATTTTCCCTACGGCCTAGCCATTTACCTTAGAGCGTGCCAAACATTAGCCTGATGGGCAGAGGGTAAGTACCCTGATATCTTTGTTGAAATTATCCTTTGTTTTTCCCATAAAATACAAAGATTATATAGGGAAATACGACTGGTCAGTTTTGACCCATTTCCAGATTTTTCCCGGACATGGCGAGTTTTTTGTGACACCCCTAGGCGTTCTCCTACCACCTCACAAAATATCAAGGGTGGTCGTCGGGCAAAAGTTTTTTTCGTAATAAAGCCCATATAAGGCGCCGGTCAATCGAGGTCAGTTTTGACCCCCTCTTCGTGAACATGTTGGCCAACCGGCACCGGCTCTCGTTTTATTTCGCCCCAAGGCAGACTCATGCCAAATTTAAAGCGCCTGCGGCGCCGGGAAGTGCACCCGACAACTTTGCTTTATATATATATACTAGCGTACCCGTCACCGCGCGTTGCCGCGGGAATAGAAGAAAGTCCGACGAAATATATAAGAAGGATTTCATCCATGCGTTATCAATCCTATATTCTTAGACTCGTGACCTTGTTTTCTAAAAGTGAGTTGTTAAATGTAAACAATGCCTGCGCTTGGATCATAAATATCGGGACACGGGTTTATCTACACTACCGCATGAAAACCTTGAGTGTACATTAATCACTCACCGAAATAATATGGTAGAACACACTTCGGTGACCGCCCATGTGTCAGAGACATAGAGGGGCGCTCTCATAAGCCCCCTCCCCCCGATTACACTACCGTATAGGCACGGCGTACCACCCTTGGCTCCTTAAAACTAACAGACGCCATCGTGCCAAATAGCATCCTGTTAACAATGATGCAGATTGTGTCTTTCGCTTAAGTGAGACAAATGAACAGATTTGTAAATTAACACGTAAAAAATGGGGGGGGGGGGGCGCCCATGCAAAAATAAATCCCCCGCTCTCACCCCCCTCCCACCCCAGAAACCGTCTTGGGAGTATTCATCAAATCCCTAAAGTTTTATGGCACCGGGATGAACTTTATCGAAACGCAATCGTCTTTTATTTTTATATACCGTACATAGAGAAAAATCGCACCATCCCATGGCGCCGCCCTTGCGAAATTAAAAATGATTTTTTACAGAACCCTTCCCCAGAGTGTTCTAATGAACTCACCAACGTCTCATGGCTATCGGATGAACGGTGTCATTGCAATTCACTTTTATTATTTTTATATACCGTATATAGAGAAAAATCGGACCCTCCCGTCCGTGGCGCCGCCCTTGTGAAATTAAAAATTATTTTTTTACAGAACCCTTCCCTAGAGTGGTATAATGAACTGCCCAAAGTCTCATGGCTATCGGATGAACGATGCCAAACCAAAATCGACTTTTATTTTTATATACAGTATATAGAGAAAAACAAATCGCGATCGTGAGTTGTTAAATTGAACACAAATAGCAATATTAACAGAAAGTGATATTTCAACGCCAAGGGTAGACAAAGGTACAGAAAATAGTCCAAGTAAAGACAAGCAGTCAGACACCAACGGGTTTCGAACCTACCATTCCACACGGCACCTATCGCCTTCAAGTCAGACGTGTAACCGCTTCTACCACTCAGCCCTAAAAAAATAAGGCTTTCGTGGCAGATAGTGGTTCGAAACCCGTTGGTGTCTGACTGCTTGTCTTTACTTGGACTATTTTCTGTACCTGTGTCTACCCTTGGCGTTGAAATATCACTTTCTGTTAATATTGCTATTTCAGTTACAACGCCTGCTTCCACCCCCCTACACGTTAAATTGAACACAAAGACATGCTCGCGGACTACAGGACGGCTGACAGTACGACACTATAAACTTTCCGAAACTGACCGGGGCGTGACAATAGGATGCGGGGCCGGGAAGAATAGCAACAGGTTTTTGGCTTGTAAATAAAGTCATCGAACCTACCATTGTGTAGAGCAGGGGTCTCCAAACTACGGCCCGCGGAGATCTTTTTGACCACGGAAAAAATGTTTGTTGGAGGTGGCTGAGGAAATTTGACCAGAAAGTTCAAAACGATTTGAAAATGTAGCTTTGGGTGCAAATACCATTGCCCGCAGTTTTGCTGACATTGATGAAAACATTGTGACTCAAACAGTGAAAAATTCATGCAAGTTTCGCCATTTTTCAAGTGCAATGGATGAGTCGCTGAAATTTATATATATTTCTATATAGTTTATATTTCGTTGGGGGAGGGGGAGAAGGGGGTATATATTCTTCGGTGGCGAGGGGGGGGGGGGGGCTCCGCCACCCCAAAGAGATGCCTGGAAGAAACTGGCCCCCGAACTGAAATTTGATAGTTAATGCGGCCCTCGGGCTGAAAAGTTTGGAGACCCCCTGGTGTAGAGGAAAGCGTGTTGCTGCATTCTCTTTCCATTGTCTTTCCATATATATATATATATATATATATATATATATATATATATATATATATATATATATATATATATATATATATAGGCACATATATATAATGAAGAGTCCTTAAAGCCTAATGAATAAGGGCGTCTGAACAATATTTATACATCTAGCCCCCCCCCCATCCATTCCCCCCCTTCAAATATGAATGCCGTCCAGATATAAAGCTACCCACAGCTACACAATCATCCAACTGTCAACTACCCAATCATCGTGCTACCGTTTTGTCCAGCTATCGACTTACTTTAACTTGATGCCTATTGCCCTGACAACTCCTGGACCGTCCACTGAAATCGTCCCGTTCGTTAACGGCACGGACAAGGTATTGGTCAACTTCACAACAACTGTGAACGTCTGCCCTTGTAGTGCTCTCCCCTCAGTCTAAAAATAAAACATTCATCAAATAACAAATTCAAATGTTATACCACATAAGAAGAGTTATTTTTAAAAAGAATGAATTTTAATGATTTAAAATCGAAGTTTTGTTGTTGAATCTAAATAGCATACAGTGGAAGCAATGAAACAGAGAAGAATTTAGAAAGTCGTTCGTTAGTTAAATAAAATTTAAGAAGTGAAATATAGAAAATAAAATAAAGTCATTGACCCTGACGTGATTTGAACACGCAACCTTCTGATCTGGAGTCAGACGCGCTACCGTTGCGCCACAGAGCCAGTTACTTCATGCGACTTGACATTCTAACTGTTATCGAATAGTTATAACCATGCTTTGTAGTACTGTGGCTCTTGGAAAAAAAAATAACAAACGCACTTTTTTACAATGATAATACAAATCCTTTTCTCACAAGAACTAACATTTTAAAAATAAAGAAAAAGAAACGATTTATTCACAATGTGAGATGAACACACTAGCTGCTGGTCAGGCTAAACAAGAGCTGTGTTTCTTTAACTTTTTTTCCAGGGGGAGGGGCTCTTTAAAATGTGTGTGTGGGGGGGGGAGTGGACTAAATAATTCCGTGGGAGGGGGACATTCGTATAAATATACATTTTCTACATGTGGGGGAGGGGGGGTAGACGTGCTTAGGTGGTGGGGGGGGGGAGGAGGAACAGGGTCACTGCCTTCCTCTTTCATTGAGTAAACAGACCTACTAAAAGAGAGACCAGGATCCACTTATCCCCACATCCCCACATCCCACTCACCCACTATCCCCCCCCCCCCCCCACACACACACCACACTCTCATCGTGCATGACGTTATTTAATGACGACATGAAAATAAGTGAAGATTGTTAACGCCATTAATAGGAACGCATCCATTCAAAGGTGTCAATAAGTCGGTTGTGTCACCCCCACTCACTCCAACAAATATGTATTTTCGATTTGGTGTCGCCCCTCTCCCCCAACTCTTTTGTTAGTTTAACAGGATTTTTAAAAATGGTGACCAAAAATGCACGTATTGTTACACCCATCTTTAAAATTAACAACAGGCTCTGTGGCGCAACGGTAGCGCGTCTGACTCCAGATCAGAAGGTTGCGTGTTCAAATCACGTCAGGGTCATTGACTTAATTTTTCTACATTGTACTATTTCAAAATACGGCGTAAAGTATAATAGCACTTTTTTTTTATTATGCTCTTAATACGTCATTAATTTTATTGAAATTAAGCTCTTATTTCCCATTAATTTTTACCGCTTATGCTGTTATTGCCTTATCAATTTTAATCAACCTATTATGTAATTACCTTATTTATTTAAACCCGATATTGCTGTTATTACCTCATTAACTTTAATCAGCTTATGATGTAATCACCTCATTAGCTCTAATCAGCCTGAGGTTGTAATAACCTCATTAATTTTAATCCGTCTGTGCCGTAATTACCTCATTAATTTTAATCCGACTAAAGTTCACCTCACCTTAATCTCTAGCTGAGGCCTGTCGAGACAGTAGCTCTGTACCGTCGCAAATCTCTGCCCGGTCTCCTTGACCTTGGCCATGACGTAGGAGGTCACGTGACTGTCTGTGGGCTTGAGCTCGATATACTCGGCACACTTAAGTTCCAACGTTGACGTGGTCTCTGGCAATCAAAGGTCATAGGTCAGGGCAGTTGTTGTTTTTTTTGTCTAAAACGTCCAAGACTAGTTTGTTTACTAATGACGCCACGTAATAGGGCTTGTAAGTAGTTCACAACTTCTCGTTCACGTACTTGCCAGCTAGTAGATTTCGAGACCGTAGACTTACAAGCCCTATTGCATTCAAATTTACCCCCGAGTGTTTTAGTCAATACGTCATAAATCGATAAATTTGATAAATTAAACACTCACAATACTTCATATTGTTTCTCATTAAAATAATATTTGGTGTATACTTTTTTTGAATACTTTCAAATTGTAATGTTTCACGCGCCAACTTATAACCACGTGTAAAAACTTGACATTATAAATTACATAAATTATATTTAGTGTTTCACGTGCCAACTTATAACCACGTGTAAAAACTTGACATTATAAATTACATAAAATTATATTTTAAGCCATAACGCAGATTATCATTGAGCTCCACTAACTTCTCCATGTCTAATAGAATCCAACAGCTTTACAAGGGGCATCCAGTGTTCTCCATACAGTAACAGATATCTGAGCTTAACGGCTAACAAACACGTTTTGTAACGTTAAACCAAACCCTTACTCTCACATCACTTTAGACTTAACAATAAATTAAATAAATACGAATCAAATGCCACCAAGTAGATTATAGTCTATAAAGCTTTGGCCTAGTAAAGCCATTTGGTGTACAGGTGCAAAGGATGTTTTGACATACGTTCATTCTTTCTATAAGTCTACTTCACCTCCCCAATAGATCGCTAGCAGTGTTTCTTCCAGACTTTTTTCTCCGGGGGGGGGGCACTTGAAATTTTCGGGGGGGGGGGGGGGCGGTAGACTTTCTTAAGGGGGGGGGCGGACACTGTTAAAAGTATATATTTTCTATATAAATTATATAAATTTCATTTCGCTCGGGGGGGGGGGGGGCGGTAAAAAATTTTCGGGGGGGCTTCGCCTCCCCGAAGTTATGCCTGGAAGAAACTCTGATCGCTAGGTCTAAAGAGGATTCTTTACTTTTACTTCACATTCTTTCTATAGAAATAGACTCTACTTATTTTTCTAATATACAGAAACAAGTCATTCTATATCCAACTAAAAATGTATTGTTTCCTAATTTCAATTAATAGTTACCTACCTGTGTTGGGCTGAATCACAAGGGAGGTAATAATCTTCTTCAGCTCGGCTGCAGTCACCCCAGTGTAAAACACGGACAACGCCCCCAGGTAGACGTCCACGACCCGACCCTCCGTCCCCGTGTTTCGGGCACGCAGCGTAGCCTTGATGTCCCCACCCTTTTCTGTCCCACCCTCCAGGGTAAAGAGTACATCCTCCTTGGCAGGTTTGGAGAAAACCGGCGTTTTTCTATTGCAAAGCTTGCCAGTTTTTTCTAAAACTTGAGCTTCCTCTTGGCTTCCTGTTAGATAATTTTTAAAACTCAATTACTGATATATATATATATATATATATATATATATATATATATATATATATATATATATATATATATATATATATATATATATATATATATATATATATATATATATATATATATATATATATATATATATATATATATAAACGGGTATACATTTTACATAACTACGCATAGCATAAAAATTATATTAGCTATTAAAAAAATATCATTGATCGTAAATGCTGCACTCGTATGTAGCGATAACTAAAATACACATCTTAAGAGTTATTTACCTTGAATCATTTTTTTTTTTGGATCCAAATGTATCTAATCGCTGTGGTTTTGGGAATTGTACAGGCGCAGCTCATGTTTTACTCGACTAGATCTATACGCAGGCAAATCAATTTAACCACTACACCTGCATTTCATTATATCTTTACATCAGGTAAATAAAAACCTTTTGTAAAACTCGCCACAGCTGTTTGTTTTTCCTCTAAGTTAATTGCTAATTTTACATTTGTTTTACATGTGCACAGAAGATTCATGTCAAGATTCATATAAATACTACCTAGTTTATAAATACTACCTAACTATGGAACACCACATGTTATATAATTATCACCTAATTTTAAACAACTCCTGCCTTAAACGATGCCTTATTATTAAAACTCCGCCTATCTTATAAATACCACCCATGTGTTAAACACGGACTATAATGTATTTTTTCAACTATCTTTTAAAGACCTCCTATCCAGACATACTATTATTACCCCCCCCCCCCCCGATTGTTAAAATACCATCTATTATACAAATACCACCAAACGTAAAAACCACGTATCATATAAATACCACCTACTGTTTAACCACCTATTATACAAACACCACCAAACGTAAATACCACCAGTCGAACACGCAGGTATCCACCCACCTTCCGGATATTTATACTTGTGCGTCAAGTCCTCCCTGGATATAGTGCCGACACTCTTGGTGCTGATGGCCCCGCCCACGCTCCTCCCGCCCATGAAAGGTTCCATGTTGCCCTCGGCGTCCACCTGCCAGTGGATGCGGCCCCCGTGCAGCTCGGCGAAGAGATATTTCGTTTCGAAGCCGACAAAAATGTCTCCCTTCAAGATGGCCGTCACTGGGGAGGGTCCACACGTCACGACACCTAGGGGAAGGCAAACCACGTGATCAGGTTCAGTTTTTAAAAAAGCTGAAATGTGTTTAATATCTTACACATAATGTGTGAGTAAATACTAATGAAGCTTGCACGGTCATATACATTAAAATATAACTTTTGTTATACTCTAGTCAATTTTGTCTAAATATGATGACAGTAAACGCGATGTCTTGGAATCGATGCAGTTAATTGTTGGGATTTTTAGTGAGACAGGGGTTCCCAAATTCTCGTATTAGTAGAACCCCGGGGTCTACTCGACCTGTGTACTTGCCTTCACTACAGTCCATGGGGGTGGGGTCCAGGGCTTGCCAGCCGTCGTACCCCGGGGGGAGGTCGGGACGAGACAGCCACGCTTCGTTCCAGACGTGGAAATTCCTGTACAAGGAAGATCATCTGTTTTTAATGAGTGAGAGTTAGCTCCCACAACCCCCGCAACCACGTTAGAAAAACTCCCACTAAAGGATAAAAATAAACTACAATGAAATCCCCGAAGAAAAGAGTGTGAGCTGACCATATGGCGTCGTCCATGTCGGTCTTGGGTTTGAGATCATGTGACCAGTGCGTGTTGACTGGTCCGCTGAAGTCACTGTCGTGCACCGCTCGGTAACACGTCACACACCTCGCGGGAATTCCCAGAGTCCTCATCACTGAAAATGGAAATTCCCCAAAAAAAAAAAAATCATTTTAAATCAAGTAAGAAGATTACTATTTTCAGTCACCAGAAGAAAATCAAAATGTATAATATACTGTATTTGAATTATATTTATAGCTATAGCTAGCAGCACTATGAAACACGTGACTTACACGTCGTGGTCACTGCAGCCATTGTCCAGCACTGCCCATACTTGACGCCTTTCCTTTTCCTCAGGAACTCCTCGAGTATGGATGGACTTCCGGTCCAAGCGTACGGGGCCTCAGCGTCGTCATATTTGCCGGACCAGCCTGCCTCTATCACCCCGCCATTCCTCTCTGTGTAGTGGATCTGTCAGTTCAACGGGTTCGATACGTTTTACAAGAGTCAATTACAGTTGTAGTCAAACGTGTTTCATGGTATTCGATTATATTTACAAGAGTCCACTACAGTTGTAGTCAAACGTGCTTCATGGTATTCGATTATATTTAGAAGATCAATTACAATTGTAGTCAAACGTGCTACATGGTATTCGATTATATTTACAAGAATCAACTACAATTGTAGTCAAACGTGTTTCATGGTATTCGATTATATTACTAGAGTCAACAACAGTTGTAGTCAAACGTGTTTCATGGTATTCGATTATATTTACAAGAACCAACTACAACTTTAGTCAAAAGTGTTAATGGTATTCGATTATATTTACGAGAACCAACTACAATTGTAGTCAAAATGTTTCGTGGTATTCGATTATATTTACAAGAACCAACTACAATTGTAGTCAAAATTGTTAATGGTATTCGATTATATTTACAAGAATCGACCATATTCAACTTGATATGTTTGAGCCCACTCAGTAATTAAGAGTACTCAGCAGTATTTAGACGTACAACTCACCTCCTTGCAGATTGTCCTTGTCACCAAGGCTGGGTTACCTCTGGCCCTGTCAGCTAACTCAGAGCGGTCCAGAATGGAAATGGCGGCGATGAGACTCACGTATTCAAACTAGCAGAGAACAAACGCTTTCTTAATCTTATGCTCTAGATAAAGTGGCAGAGGAAAATAAATGATCTCAAGTATCTTGTAAGTAGACTAACGTCTAAATTTACGAGAATTTAATTCCTTTGGACTTATATGTCATTTTGCTTTACATTTGTATGTAATGACTCATAATATACATTTTAAAAAGATTGTTACATTTAAAAACTTAGAAAAAAATCTAATTATGCATTGAACACCAATCTATTAAGAAGCTAACCTGGCCAAAGTTCCATGGCCGAACAAAATATTTCTCCACAGCTCCGAGCCAAATTCTGCCCGTTTCGTTGAGGACGTACTCGTTTCTTTCAGCCTCTCCAGCAATGTAAACCCCATCACCTGAAGAAAGAACTCAAACTCTCAACACAGTGATAGAGCAGGTTTAACTAACTGTATCAAACCCTCAACACACTGATATGCAACGTATGGGTGGCTTGATATAACTTTCAACATATTGATCTAGCACGTATGTGAGGCTGTATCAAACTCTAAACACATTGATATATTACGTATGATTGTCTATATCAAACTCTCAACACAGTGATATAGCAGGTTTAACTAACTGTATCAAACTCTCAGCACATTGATATAGCAGGTATAACTAAAGGTATCAAACCCTCAACACACTGATCTACAACGTATACTGGTTGTATCAAACTTTCAACATGTTGATCTAGCACGTATGTGAGGCTGTATCAAACTCTAAACACATTGATATATTACGTATGATTGTCTATACCAAACTATAAACATATTAATATAGTACGTATGATTTTTTATATTAAACTCTCAACACATTGATATAGTATGTATGATTGTCTATATCAAACTCTCAACATATTGATATAGTACGTATGATTTTTTATATTAAACTCTCAGCACATTGATATAGTATGTATGATTGTCTATATCAAACTCTTAACACATTGAATTAGTACGCATGATTGGTTGGACCTCATTAACCCACATTTCAAACTTTTCTTATCCAGGATTGAACATGAATACGTTTTAGTTTGTACGGCATATTTTCATAACTAATTTATAAAAAAAAAGACATATGCAATTTTAAAAGGCGGGTTGTGGTAGCTCATAATTCAATTTTCAGTAATGTTGATGTACATGTGCGTCGTTGAACACCTGCCAGTAATACCTGTAGTCCAAAGTATCAAGTAGCTCATAGGAAAGTGGTAGGGACACGGGGTGTACATGGAAGATATGGGTGGTGAGTGATGTGTGGTATGTGCAGGGGGGTAATTGGTGTTTGGCTATTTCATCGTGTTTCATTTGTATCTTTATGTACTGTATTTAAGGGAAGCCGAACGGTCAGTCTAAAGCTCTAGACACAATGTAAACCACTAAAGGAAAGCAGAAAGGTCAGTCAAAATCCGAGACATGATGTAAACAACTCATACACATTGTTTAAAAGGGAAGGCGAACGGTCACTCTGATTCTAGACTTTGGTTTCAAATTTCATGAAGACGTTAGATGGACAGCTTATGATTCTAGACTGTTTCACATTTCATGAAGGCGTTGGTTGGACAGCCTCTAATTCAAGACTTTTGTTTCACATTTCATAAAGACGTTGGTTGGACAGCCTCTAATTCAAGACTTTGTTTCACATTTCATGAAGGCGTTGGTTGGACAGCCTCTGATTCTAGACTTTGTTTCACATTTCATGAAGGCGTTGGTTGGACTCGATACTCACCTTTGTGCCAAGGGTTAAACAGCAAGAAAATATCATCCGGGTGTTTATGTCGCCATTTCTCAGCGTCTTCGTTGTTCCCGTGTGTGGTGTCTATAAATAGCTCATATCTCCCAACAATGGCGTCGCTGTCAGAGCTGACCTGGATAGCCACACATCTGCAAAGCGAAGGGAGATAAGAATTAAAGTGAAACAGGAAGTAATAGCTACAATTGTTTAAAAAAGATGAACCGGCAATGTCGGATTTTATTTACAGATTGAAAAGATTGCAGAGACGGCGGGGAAAAAAAGATGGAGATTGCTATGTCTACGTTTAAAATTATATAAGCAAACGAGAAATGCTACTTTCTTTTTACCTTTTGGCTTGTAATTAACATGATCCATTACTCTAAAGTTGTCCAGAAACAAGATCAGAAAAGAAAGCTAAAACATGCGTGGATACCGCGAGGAAGCAAGGGTTAAAAGTACAGACTTAAGAGTATTATTTATTGTTTGTTTACAGAATCTTTCCAGTATTTTGACTCGGGGAATAATGGAGGCAGAAAAATAATTTCGAAAAGCTACAAATCAGTTTTCTTCTTCAAAAGTTTTTTTTTTGGCAGTTAATCCAACCAGGTACCTTGACACCTATCCCCTCTACCTGGGATAAGCCGTAAGTCAACAATAACGATGCAGACAAGGTACATTAATGTATTCTTTTGTGTTTAAAGTTTGCTCTTCTTTTGTCGTAGTTTCACTGTGCAGTAAGCAGTGTATGTGACAAGTTTCTGTAGATGTTAAAAGTCGTGAATCACGTTATGGTTGATCTCAAGATTTTAGCCCCTATTGTAAAGCTTTAAAGATGGTTATGATGTACTTTGAAGACTTAAATAACGGACCATGCAATTCTAATACAATATACCTTCGTACATTTCAGCCTCTGCCTTTAATAACACTAAATTCGATAAAATAATAGTTATTTTTTTTTAAAAATAATATAAGAATTAAAATGTCCAAAAATGATGCTACGGGAAAAAAGTTTGTAATAATTACCAAATTTAGATAAGGTTTTTGTAAATTTTATTTTTTAAATCATAAAATGATATAGCTGAACTTAAAGGAGAAAACATGGAGTTATAAAAGCTGTACCTGAGCTCAGCGGAGTTCATGTTTTTATGAGAGACCACGTGAGGTTCAGAGGCGTAGCTAGGGGGGGGGGCGGGGGGGGGCGGCCGCCCCGGGCGCCGACCCTATGGGGGCGCCAAAAGGGGTGGGAAAATTTTTTTAAAGCTGATTTTATGCTGCAGTTTTGAATTATAAACTGTCTAAGTTAAGAAATGTAATGGCTACACGCATTTACATACTGATTTAACTGTTTTCTATCTTGATTTCTTAATGTAAAACATATACTCTTAAGAAACAGTGACCGGCAAAACCGCTTTGAAGCTTATCCTAGATGGGGGGGGGCGCTTTTTCGAGACTTAAAACGGAAGAATTTACACTAGATTGTTGAGTCGATAAACGTTACCACTATTAAAAGAAACCAATTGTATTAAAACGTATTGTACGATTGTCGAACTGTAAAATACGTTAGTGACTTTTATCAAGATGGTGCAGGGGGGCGCTTTTAGGCTAAATAAAATAGCAAAATTACACAGGATTCTGAGTAAACAACCTTTAGCTCTCAGAAAGAAACGAATTGTACTGTGCATTGTATAATTGTGTAACATTTTTTTTTAAAAAGTTAGTTACGTTAAAAACCGCTCTACAAACTTTGTCCAAGATGGTTGTGATGAGTGTGTGTGGGGGTGGGGGGGGGCGCTTTTTTCGCTAACAAAAATCGTAAGTATTTGTACTGGATTGGTGAGTAGATAACTCTCTTAACACTTAGTAAAGAAACCAAGTGTATTAACGCGTAATGTACAATTTCAATAGCCAGTTTTGTTAAAAAAAAGACGCGACTAGTTCTTTGTAAGATTCTTACGATTCTCTCAACTTCAACGTGAGAGATCAGATACTTTTGATTCCAGTTTGTTTTCTCTAGCTTGTTTTGTCATACCATCAACCAATCAACGAAATACCATAAATATTTCTGATAACTTCTTCTTGTATGTCACTTGTGTGTCCTTACTCTAACAAACTTCGAATCCAACTATGTACCATATCACAACAGAGATCGTTCAAAACTAGAACATAAAAGGTTGGTCTAAACATATTAGCGTTAGCTACAAATTACCCTCTAACACAGGTCAGGCTTATTTTTTTTAACTGACATTACTAATCTTTCGCAAAAAAAGTTAAACGCATCTTAATGGGAATTAGATTGTCGTAAAGTTGTAAGGAATGAAAATCATACAATGTAATTATTAAACCTTGTCCGGACTGTAGCATACACGCTTACACACACGCTTACACACACAAATACACTCTTACCCACACACAAGCTTATATATAAACACACTATCACACACACATAATTATACACACACACACACACACACACATATATATATATATATATATATATATATGTATATATATATATATATATATATATATATATATATATATATATATATATATATATATATATATATATATATATATATATATAAATAAGCGGGGGGGGGGGCGCCAAATTGAAAGTTCGCCCCGGGCGCCGGGAAGGGTCGCTACGCCTCTGGTGAGGTTGTTTCAAATTGTTTAGCTTCCGTGTTTAAAAATAAACACCCAATGGAGGAAAGCCTGATGGATCGCCCACAAAGCTTTCAGAAAAAAAATCGGTAATTTCCTTTACCGAAACATAGCATCGCAAGATTTAGGCGATTTTTGATACATTTAACATTGCATTACGAAATGTGGATATTTTTCATTACAATAATATTGGATCACAAGACGTAAGCAAATATTTACAATACACTGCACCACAAGAAGTAGGCAATTTTCTTTACAATTACATTGCACCCAAAAACTGCTTTGAAAACATCGCTTGTGATTTTGTTTTGTAAACTCATCTGAATTTTTACTTACATTTGTGGCAGGAACTTCAGTAATAAGCTTTGGTTATCATGTGATCTACCAATGGCAGTTTTTAGTCAATAGACCAAAGCGGTTGCTATACCCTATCCTACCAGTGGGACTGTTTTTATTTTAATCTATGTTACACGAAAACTTACTTGTCCTTGGCGCTCACAATTTGAAATCCCCAGTGGCCGTCCCTGATCTTGTCCACTTGATTGACAGCTACGACACTCCCCCTGCTCTGTGTTGGTCGACTGCCTTTAATAAAACAATTACAAATTACAACTTGCCTATGATATGGTCATGTCTAATTAGTTGAATTTTTTTAGATGGAAAGAAGAACTAGGCGTTTTCAGAACTTGATATCTGTTTTAGTTGATCTCCAAGTCTCCAAAGTATGTTGTGTATATCAAAAACTACAGATTGTTCACGAAGCCTAGCTTCACCAAGCCCAGCTTCACTATACCCAGCTACACAATTCCCAGCTACACTATGCCAAGCTACTCAATGCCGAACTATTCAATGCCCAGGTATGGTATGCCCAACTACTTAATGCCCATCCGTACAATTTGGCGGTAACGACATCATGTCAATGATATTTCACAACTGAACAATGTTTTGACTTTTTAAATAGCGTCGTAAACATTATTTAAAGAAAACATCACGATCTAGACCAGCCGAGGTTACTGCACTTAATCTACAATAAAAAGGACTCACTCAAGCCCCCACTTAAAAAAACCTCCACCCACACAAGCCCCCATCTACAAAACATGCACACACACAAGCTCCCACCTACAAAAACCTGCCCCCACACAAGCTCCCACCTACAAAAACCTCCACCCACACAAGCCCCCACCTACAAAAACCTGCCCCCACACAATCCCCCACCTACAAAACCTGCACTCACTCAAGCCCCCATCAACAAAAACCTGCACCCACACAAGCCCCCACCTACAAAACCTGCACTCACTCAAGCCCCCATCAACAAAAACCTGCACCCACACAAGCCCCCACCTACAAAAACCTGCCCCCACACAATCCCCCACCTACAAAACCTGCACTCACTCAAGCCCCCATCAACAAAAATAAAAGACTTTAAAAAAAATCATTTCCCTGGCACGGGAAATATTTCTCAAGTCATTAAAACATTCCCAGCGTTGGAGTCTGGAGCTCAAGCAAACAGGCGCAGGTTCCAGAAAGTCAAGAAATTCTGGGGGTAATTGAATCACCACACATTTCCTTTGATGAGTCGGGGAAGGAAGGTGGGGGTGTATGTTGCGTTCTGCTGTGTAGAAAGGTAACATTGTATTCTATTGGAGACAAGCTAAAACATACCACTTTATAACACGTTAAATTCAGATGAAAAGAATAATTCACTTGGATTAGTTAAAGCATAAAGCTGCAGAAACCATTGCATAGAAATATAATGGGGAATATAAATACTGAAGAATTTTTACCAGAAACTCAAACTATAAGAGATCTTGACAATAGATATTGGAAAATTACCAGTGATTAAAGAAAAGTGCATATTCCATTTTAAAACAGCATTCATTTAGTTTGAATTTCATTGAGTTATTATTATATTTATTATTACTATTAATGATAAAAAAGAAGAAGATATAAAATGCTTGTTAATTGATTTGCCTAATGTAGGAAATTGCTGATTGATGCAGACTATTTATTGATGTTCAGCGATCGATTAAAGAAGATTAAGGTTTTTTTTTTCTATACTAAAACATAAGAGATGGAAGTCCCCAAACTTACCACAGGCACAGAGGGAACCAAACTCACTAGACCCAGAGGGAACCAAACTCACTGGACGCAGAGGGAACCAAACTCACTAGACACAGAGGGAACTAAACTCACTAGACACAGAGGGAACAAACTGAACCATACACACAGGGAACCAAACTCACCAGACACAGAGAGAACCAAACTCACCAGACACAGAGGGAACTAAACTCACTAGACACAGAGGGAACCAAACTTACTAGACACAGAGGGAACCAAACTTACTAGGCACAGAGGGAACCAAACTCACGGGACACAGAGAGGAACCAAACTCACCAGACACAGAGAGGAACCAAACTCACCAGACACAGAGGGAACCAAACTCACCAGACACAGAGGGAACCAAACTCACCAGACACAGAGGGAACCAAACTCACCAGACACAGAGGGAACCAAACTCACCAGACACAGAGGGAACCAAACTCACCAGACACAGAGGGAACCAAACTCACCAGACACACAGGGAGCCTACCTCACCAGACACAGAGAGGAACCAAACTCACCAGACACAGAGGGAACCAAACTCACCAGACACAGAGAGAACCAAACTCACTAGACACAGAGGGAACCAAACTCACTAGATACAGAGGAAACCAAACTCACCAGACACAGAGGGAACCAAACTCACCAGACACAGAGAGAACCAAACTCACCAGACACAGAGGGAACCAAACTCACCAGACACAGAGAGAACCAAACTCACTAGACACAGAGGGAAGCAAACTCACCAAACACAGGGGGAACCAAACTCACCAGACACAGAGAGAACCAAACTCACCAGACACAGAGGGAACCAAACTCATTAGACACAGAGAGAACCAAACTCATTAGACACAGAGGGAACCAAACTCACTAGACACAGAGGGAAGCAAACTCACCAAACACAGGGGGAACCAATCAAACAAGACACAAAAGGAGGGGAAACAATACACAATCGATCAGACCCACAGGTAAAAACCTAAATGTGTTTGATCCCAGCAGGTGTGTGACAGTTCTCACCTCGGCTTCAACATCCCCAGCCTCCCTCCCCCACAATCAACTGAGAAACTCGCTAAGTTCTAGTTAAGTCTTGCTGGTTACTCCCTCTATCACAAACTGCCAGAACAAAAACATTTTTTCTCTCTTACATGTCTGCTACACACGTACCGTTAAACGTTATACTTAGGATATCCAAACAATGAAACATTTTCTTCATTTAAGCAACAATATAAAGTCTTACCACAAAATAAAAACTCCTAAATTTACACATTACAAAAATATATTCTTCTATTTCAATGACATCTATTCTGTCGCTCAAGGTAATTTGTTAGACTATTGAAAACACAAAAATAAATAATCTAGTCCAATGTACTTTACTGTCTCACAGTTCATCCTTGCTCGTTCATTTTCTTTATTTACATATAACATGTACCTTTATATATATATATATATATATATATATATATATATATATATATATATATATATATATATATATATATATATATATATATATATATCCTGAGAATTTAAAATCCAAACTTTCTGTAGACATCATAAACGGATGACCCCTTACCTCACGAGTTAAAATATCCCCTAAGTGCACTGACCTGTGACAAACTTGAGGGTCAGGTGATCGACCCCCTTGACAAACTCGCGCTGGAACTCGATGTTGATGTCAAAGACCTGGCCCCTGCGGATGATCAGGTTTGGAACCTCGTACTCCGAGGTGTGGTGGGCCTCTCTGTTCCTTCTGCGACACAGGTCAACGGTCTGTGGCTTCAGGTGGCGCTCTGTATCGAACACAGAGAGAATAGTTCAGATAGCTACATCAGAGACACAATAAATAGTTCAGATGATGTGCTACATCAAACACAGAGAGAATGGTTCAGATGATGTACTACATCAAACACAGAGAGAATGGTTCAGATGATGTACTACATCAAACACAGAGAGAATGGTTCAGATGATGTACTACATCAAACACAGAGAGAATGGTTCAGATGATGTACTACATCAAACACAGAGAGAATGGTTCAGATGATGTACTACATCAAACACAGAGAGAATGGTTCAGATAGCTACATCAGACACACAATAAATAGTTCAGATGCTGTTCTACATCAAACACAAAGAGAATAGTTCAGATGATGTGCTACACCAAACACAAAACATGCTGACCACATCATGTGTGACCTTCAACTTCCGTTTACCTCAGCGAGATTCAGTCTTAAACCATCTGCCCCCACTCCCACCATACGCCCCCCCCCCCCAACCTGCTCTCTCCCACAGAAAAAAGACAACTTACACTTATCACAGTCCCATGACTCAAAATTTGGCTATTTCAAGACATCGTTAATTAGATTTCATTAACGCATGCGCAGTCGCTAGTTGCCAGCGTACTTGGCAAAATAATTTGATACATTTATTTTCCCCGCCCCTACCTGTTTCCGGTTCTTTGGTAATTAACTTTTATTCACTAGAATTTTTTTTCAGGTAAATAAATCTAAATTGGTATACATTTTCTTACTTTATTTTTTTTTTAAATTAAGTTAGAACGTGAATATTATTTTTTCAATTTGTTTGAAACGTTATGAAATTATGACACGTGCGTTTTGTATAAATATGTAAAAAGAAAACTCCAGAGCTACCTTCCCTGCTCTTGTTAAACCCCGTGAGCTGAGTCTCGCTGTCAGACGAGAACGGGTTCTCCTCGCACGTCTGCCGCCGTCCTGTCAAATCGTTGCCAAGCAACAGAGACTTCACGTTGCCATAGTAACTGGCAAACTTTTCTGAGATTGTTGTCCTGAAAAAAGAAGAAAGATTTGGATGGAGTTGTAAAGCAAAAAAATGTTTGTCCTAATTGGACGACAATATAAGTACACATTTTTTGTGTGAACAAGTTTAATGCTGCCAGACCAACATACCAAAAACAAAATTCTAGCGTTCTAGATCGCAGCTGTAAGATGTAGGCTAGTTTCTACAGTCACCTTTTGCCAACATTAAGCTGGCCATAGCGTCTAATATAAAATTTTTAATTTCTTTTGTAGGACTTGTAGTTTTTTTTTTTTTTTTAAACCAGTTTTTTCTCTCTTTTTAAGGCTTGAAAAGTTTGTAAAAAATACTAAATTAAAAAAAAAAAACGTTTTAAAAATATGGCTGGCGATAAAATTGCAGTTACATTTTTAAAATTAAAGTTGTTTCGGAACCACTTATGTTCTTATTTTTGTATTGAATATAAGCCGTTGAAGTCAACTTGAATGGCCAGGGAGAGTAAAACAATGAAAGTCAAAACAATTGTTTTCCATAATAAAATACACAATAGTGGTCTATGGTGTATAGCATTTTGTCATTACTATGGAATTAATTTTATGGTAATCTTTGATTTGTAAGAAGGATCACTTAAATTTTAAAAATATGATGATGAAATGTAAAAAAGAAAGTATATAGTGTAAGTTAAACATTCAACTGTTTCATATACTCCATTTTAAGACAAGTAGAATTGAAAGGGTAAATCAGTCTCAACTTTTAATAATGTTATAATAATCAGTGTAGAATTTATATAACTCGAAAAAAAAAAGTTGCACAATAAAAGTAGCCTAAATAAAAATAATCAGTCAACTGTGCATAAACAAACATTTTCCTAACGAATAAGAAAATCGCTAGTAAAGAAGATTTTTTTTTTTAAAAAGCGGAAACCCAAACACTTACACAAGATACAAGGTCAAGTTATTTTATAAGAATCTATTTCACTGGTCAACAAACAATTTTTTGGTACGTGTTTGTGTTAATACATACACTATTATAACCAATCACAACCACACTAATTCTCCAATACAAACCCTTTTTTTTGCCGCGCCGGCGTTGCCATGGTAACAGATGAAGAGTTCAGCAGACACAGTTACTTCCCCTCAACGAATGATGTGATATTAAAAAAAAATTATCTCTACTTCCGGTAGTTTTTTTTTTTAGGACAAACAGGCCATCGTCTGACGCCAGCAATGGCATCGAGTGTTCCCGGGGCAGACAGTTACGTAACTTCCATAACCGTTAGCACAGGGTGAAAAAATGTTCCAGGGTAGTTCTTGTTAGAATAACGTTGTCAACAAGTTTGAATTTTTCACGAGAGCTCCGAGCAACACATTGTCACATTGCGGTATTTCTAAACACGCTAAGTAAAACGGTATTTTTTTCACATCCAAGGGAAGTAACTGGGATTACACGAAAAAGGGAGATAACATTTTAAACAGGTTTTTTTTTTTTTATCTTTCAAAGAAAATTAATGACATTATAAACGATTATTTTTTACTCATACTTCGAAATAAGGTTGAGCAAGACTTAAACTATTTTAGTATTTATGAATTGTAAGTCTCGTTGCTTCTAAAAAAAACCAGTTAATTATCATAATTGCAACTTATTTTATAATAAATATAAATAATCATTTAAACAAGAGTAGAATATGTATATACTATGTGTATATAACTAATGTATGTAATTTTTTTTTCATAATCTATCTTCAATTAAACACGATAAGTCAAGTTAATTAATTTAGTGTCAAACTAATCAATTTAAAGTCAACCTAAGGAGTAATAAGTAAGACCCATCAATCTTTGGCATAATCATAATGCTACCGGTCGGTGTGTTTATATCATAACACAACATAATCGGCTCTTATGTTCATCATAACACAACATAATGGGCCCTTGTGCTCATCATAACACAACATAATGGGCCCTCGTGTTCATAATAACACAACATAATGGGCCCTTGTGCTCATCATAACTCGTTACAACACAATTGGCCTGTGTGATAATCATAAAACAACACATGTGTCTATTCCAGGTATAAATTCCTACATCGAACAATTTTTGCTGGACTGGTGAAATTAGTATATACAAAGCACCTGATATACAAGTATTATAATATATATATACGTAATACTCAACCACTTTAACACCCAATATAAATAAAAACACAAACAGGGTACGGCTATTCTCAGAATGAAATTAATCGCTTTTTAACAACGTGAAGACATTAAAAACGCGAGTGAAAAAGATGATGAAAACTCCAGTCAACCCGTGGTGGTAGATGATAATTAGATAACGGTTGTATGCAGGTGAGCACAGGTAACACGGCCGCTACACGTTCGCTCGACGCACGGTCGAGAGGCACGCACGGGGAGTTGACATTAGAGGGAATGTCTTAAAATACGCTAGGCGGAATGACCTTTCACCTCTGGGGGGTTGCCTGGCAGGCAGGCACCATGAAGCGCAACTCGTCTGCTACCTTTTCGTTACCTAGTTCGAGTGCTGGAACCTTGCACCACGAGGGTGTAGTGGTCTTATCTTTATTTATTTTTTTACTTTGGCGTCCTAATCTACTTCCTACCTACTTCTGCTCTGAAAAATGTGTCGATTTTTTTTTTCGGATTTTTTTTTCACTCTCTGGTACAGCCCCCGCTTCCCCTCCCCCACACTATATTTTTTTTAATCTCTGGGTTAGCTACTTCTTCCCCCCCCCCCCCTCTCCCACACCATATTTTTAAATCTCTGGGATTGCTACTTCTTCCCCCCTCCCCCACACCATATTTTTTCAATCTCTTAGCTACTTCTTCCCCTCCCCCACACCATATTTTTTCAATCTCTGGGTTAGCTACTCCTCCCCCCTATCACCCCATATTTTTATGAATACATCACAGGCTGGGTTTCGCGTAGATATTTTCAAAACAAGTATGTGACGCTTGTTTTAAACGTTGCAACATTAAATGTGCACACTTAAAGAAAAATCTTGAATACTTTAAATGTGCACATCTCTAACCTACACACCTTTACCTAAAACACCAGCAACAAAAACATCTTTTAAAGCACATCTTTAAGTTACACACTTAACCTAAACTACCAAAATAAATATGTAAACACACCTCTAATTTACATACCTTTTAAAACAATACATTTCATTTACAGACCTTTAATGTACGCACCTTTAAATTGAACGCATTTAACTGACACACTTTTTTAAAATTAAATAACTTTTAACTCCCATACCTATAAAACGCGCACATTTAGTTTACACACCTATAACACACACACATTTAAAATTACACACACACCTATAACACACATATTTAACTCCCATACCTATAACACACACATATTTAACCTACACACCTATAATACCAGAGTTTCTTCCAGGCCCCCCCGAAAAATTTTTACCGCCCCCCCCCCCCCCGAACGAAATGAAATTTATATAATTTATATAGAAAAAATATACTTTTAATAGTGTCCGCCCCCCCCCCGAAGAAAGTCTACCGCCCCCCCGAAAATTTCTAGTGCCCCCCCCCCCCCCCGGAGAAAAAAGTCTGGAAGAAACACTGTATAATACACACACATATTTAAATTACACGCTAATAACATACACACATTTAACTTACATACCATTAAGCAGCGAACTTAAAGCGAGCCACTAAAGGACCTCCAGTGTGTTTGTATAATGTTTAGGCCTATAGTGAATAGGCAATTTTGTTGAAAAGATCAGACATCAACAAGTGATCAGCTGCTGTAGCGTCAATTAAACTGCACACCTAAAGCCTGCTAACATGTGTACCACGTCACCTCAACTAAAAAATTGGGCAGTGATTTTTCAAAAAAAAATGTTTCTTTACATGCTGGTGTCAGTGAACAAGTGATCAGTAAACAAAAAGTTGGTAAAACTGCCCGTTAAAATGTTGCAACCAGCTGACAATGAAATATCTGCCCCCCAGTCATAAAACAATAAAACATATCATAAACACATGTAATAGGCTGCATTCGCTTAATTGGAATGAGAAGTGGATGTATCAGTCGCCAGAAAAGAAAAATAATTCTTACATTTAGGAAGATTCGTTCAGTAAAACTTGGATAAAAACATTTTTTTAATCTGGTGTGAGATTCTCTAGAAATTTTGTAAATTTTTACGTTTTTGTAAGGGAAAGATAAAAAATCCGTCCATTATCATATTAAAATGTCAAGATTTACATTCAAGTCAACATTTGGTATCTCTTGGAGCCGCATAGAGATCAATTGACATTTTATCAAGCGTAGATCCAGAACAAAAACTTATCTATTTTTTTACCAAAGTACTAAAAATGGGGGAAATGTATTTAAACTTTAAAAAAAATTCATAAATAACATACTTCAACAAGCAGGTGTTTTCACCTTGACCTTCGCTACTTCAACTACGCTTCAGTCACGTGATAAAGAATCGGCCAATCAGCCGTTTGTTTACATTAAAGGGGATGTTTGTATTTACAGAACGTTCAATTACGGCGTGTGACCTTCACCTTGGTGAAAGTGACCTTAGTTACCGTTTACAGCAAACGTCACTAATGTTCACCCTCCTCATCCAGTCCTACCCCCCCCCCCCACACACACACACACACTTTAGCACCTAGGTGTGATTGTCATACCTACACTGGCTACAGATAAACATTTTACCTGCAGACATTGTATGTGACCTTGACATGTTTATTCCTGCCAGTTAACGGGTCACGCTAGCATCGTTATAGTCTGGTTTGGACCAGTTAGACTAGTGACATCATTTCCTGGGACTAATTATCAGGTTATTATTGACTGACTTGGATTTTTATCTCTCATTTATTTATTAGCCTGTACAACAGATAAATTATATATATATATATATATATATATATATATATATATATATATATATATATATATATATATATATGTATGTATGTATGTATATATGTATATATATATATACTTATGTATATATGTATATATATATACTTATGTATATATATATAGA